CCGCATAGGAGTCTGGTCCGCAGCCGTCGTCGTCGCCGCCGCCGTCGTCGTCGTCGTCGTCGTCGTCGTCGTCGTCGTCGTCGTCGTCGTCGTCGTCGTCGTCATCGCCGTCGCGCGCGCGGACGCAGCTGGAGCCTGTGACGGGTGGGTGGAGGGGGCTGGTGACGTCACGTTTCGCGCTGGCGGCGTCTGGGAATGCCTAGGAAGCACCGAAGACGGGTAGCAGCACCATGTCGGTGGCGATCTGCGCCACGACGCTTTTGTACACCATAGTGCCCAGGTGCACCACAGCGCCTGTGTACACCACGCCGCCTATGTACACCACAGCAGCTGCGTGCATCACAGCGCCAATGTGTGCCACAGTGCCTGCTGGCACCACAGTGCTTGTGTACACCACAGCACGTGCGTGTGCAACACAGCACCAGTGTACATCACAATGCCTGCGTGCACTTAGCACGGCACCAGTGAATAGACCATTCTGCGGTGCATGCTGAGGCGCGCACGTGCGCTGCAGTGCCGACCCGCACGACAGGGGGGAAAGGTGAAGAAGGAGGAGGGGGAAGAGTAGGAGGAGGAGGAGGACGAGGAGGAGGAGGAGGGGGAGGAGGACGAGGACGAGGACGAGGACGAGGAGGAGGAGGAAGAGGAGGAGGAGGACGAGGAGGAGGAGGAGGAGGCGGAGGTGGAGGAGGGAGGAGGGGAAAACGTCGCATTCTATTATCACCACTTCCCTGGCGTGTCGTTTAGCTGTCCGCAGCAGATCCTCACCGAAATGTTATTTCTACGCGTTTGTGCGCGCAAGCACTGTGGTGTACACCAGCGCCGCGTTGCACACGGATGCTGTGGTGTAGACAGGCGCCTTGGTGTGCACAAGCGCTGTGGTGCACATAAGCACTGTGGTGTAGACAGGCGCTGTATTGCATATGGGTGCTGCGGTGTACACATTCGCTGTGGTGCACACAGGCGCTGTGGTGCGCGCAAGCACTGTGGTGTACACAGGGGGTGCGTTACACACGGATGTTGCGGTGTACGCAGGAGCTGTGGTGTACACAAGCGCTGTGGTGCACGCGAGCACTGTAGTGTACACAGGCGCTGTGGGGCAGATCGCCGCCTACATGCTGCTCGCGTCGTCGTCGACGTCGTCGTCGTCGTCGCTCGTCGCTCGTCGCTCATCGTCGTCGTGCGCGCGGGCGCGGCTGTGGTGCCGGAGCCGCACGGCAAGGGGGGGGGGGGGCGTTACGTCATACCCCCCCCCATGACGCCCATCATCGCCGATGAACAAGAAACGCGCTCTTGCTTCCGCACAACTCCGCCAGCGTGGCTACGCATGCGATAGAATAACACACCGAAGTTCTGTCAGCCAACGGTTCTACGTAAGTGGGGGTTGTTTTGGTTGGCGAACACAGTCAGCTTTGGATCTCCACACCAGCGGCATGGTACATGCACGCACCAGGGAAAATCAGAGGTGCACATAGAGAGCGGATGCGCAAAATTGTGACGAAAGCGAAAGGGTTGAGGATGCATATTGTCATGATGGGTCCTCCAGGCTACTTGTGGGAACTGCAGCCTGCTAAAAAGATGATTGATGATTTGCGTCTTACTGTGGTACGCATGCGTTTATGTTACTTTGGATTCGAAGACAACCGAACAGATACAAAACCTAGTGGTACAGACATACAGGTCGTGACTACGTACAGTCGCATCCCTACAACGATGTGGATTTGCAAGTGTGTGGATCCTACGCAACGCGTGTTCGACTGGTCCGGTCATGACCAGCAGCACGCCGAATGGCGGCAGCAAGTCCGAATGACACTTACCAGACGCCCGTGGGAAACAGTCGCCAATCAACCCCACAAGCAAACAGAGGACACGTTATAGAACATACATACTCGTATTGACCTTTTTGTGATTCGCTTCGTGAAGCTGGACGAAAGGGCCCAAAGGATTGGGACCGAATCGCCGGAAGAGTTACACATGATTCTGGCAACAGAAATTGATACATGACATTAAGGTCAAGAATACGCCTACAGGCAACGATTGGCGCTCACAACTCCAGAAAATGGATACAAAATATTTGCTCTGATTTCTTCTGGGAGGACCCAGAACCAGTATCTTTCGGGGAAACCACGCGGACGCGCCCAAAACACGAGGAAACGCTCATCATCCAAGATGGTTGTTTTCTTCCCTCTCCGATTTTGGGGCTGCCACATGAGTTGTTGTCGATGTCCGCACACGTTTGCCCGACGGATGCACGCGTTAGACAACGAGGAAAACATAATTCTGACAAAGCGGCGGGTATCAAACCAAAAAAGATACCAAATAATGTTGAGGAAGGAGACGATAATTGCGGCGAAAGCCTAAAAGGTTTCATTGTAATGCATATTACAGCACGTACGTCCCGTTTGATACGGATTCGGACTCCGACCTGGAGCAAGTTTTCCCCTCTCTGCCAGCGGACGCGCACACCAACATCTTCAACGGCATTCCGACGCTATGCTATGGACGACGCAACGGCGTCGACATGTTGGAATTTCGTGGTGGAAACGGAAGCATTTCCCAACTTGGCCTCAAACGCCGTCGTTCGCCAGGAGGTAATGTTGATCGGAGAATTGGCGTTGATCTGGTAGACTGGAAGGTGCAGCAGTCTATACTTCACTACTTGCGTACATGTAAGGTAGGGCCGGTCATCCTACAACCAGCTTGCCGTACCACGGGGTCGCCATCATACTTTAATGCTATGGCCAACTCTTTCGCTTCGCGTATCCCCACCAGCCCATCTCACAACAGCAACTCTTGCGAAGCATGCCGACAGTCGTGTTTTTCAGGCGTGTGTCCGCTTGGCCCCGCATATCTCCCCTGTTCCTCCTTCCTCCCGCCTCCTTGTACATCCTCCTTGTGGGGGCAGCGGGAGAAGGACGAGGCGGAGGAGGAGGGAGAGAAAGCGCTCCTCGTGGTTTGAGTCGTTTGGGGTTTCTCGTCCTGGTGTGAGTCGTTCGGGCCCTTCTTCCTGGTGTGAGTCGTTCGGGCTCTTCGTGGTGTGAGTCGTTCGGGCTCTTCGTCCTGGTGTGAGTCGTTCGGGCTTCTCGTGGTGTGAGTTGTTCGGGCCCCTCGTCCTGGTGTGAGTCGTTCGGGCCCCTCCTCCTGGTGTGACTCGTTCGGGCTCCTCGTGGTGTGAGTCGTTCGGGGCCCTCGTCGTGGTGTGAGTCGTTCGGGCTCCTCGTGGTGTGAGTCGTTCGGGCGCCTCGTCCTGGTGTGAGTCGTTCGGGCCCCTCCTTGTGGTGTGAGTCGTTCGGGCTCTTCGTGGTGTGAGTCGTTCGGGCCCCTCGTCCTGGTGTGAGTCGTTCGGGCTCCTCGTGGGGCCTCTTGGGGGCCTCTTGGAGCCTCTTGGGGCCTCTTGGGGGCCTCTTGGGGGCCTTTTGGGGGCCTCTGGGGCCTCTTGGGGCCTCTTGGGGCCTCTTGGGGGCCTCTTGGGGGCCTCTTGGGGCCTCTTGGGGGGGGCCTCTGGGGGGCCTCTTGGAGGCCTCTTGGGAGCCTCCTGGGGGCCTCTTGGGGTCATCTTGGGGCCTCTTGCGACCTCCTCAGAAGCGCAAATGAGCGCTGCCCCCTGAGAAGGATAAAATGAGCCCAACACCTTCGTAAAATCAATGATTTTGCTATGAAGGAAGAGGAGCGCGGCCCCCTCAAAAGGCCAAAATGGGGCCACAACCCTAGTAAAAACAATGTTTTTTGATTCAAAGACGAGCAGGGGGGCCGGACTCCCCCCCCCCTCGGGGCCAGAATCCTCGTGAGGGTCGTCGTTTTTTGGCCCTCCCAGGAGTCGAAAAAGACCCCCCTGACTACGCTCGGGAGTCCCTCTCCAGGCCCAGGGGGAGGGGGTAGGGGGAGGGGTAAACCCCTCCCCGAAGGGGAAGAAGGGGGGTGAGGACAGAGAGAGCTCTCTAAACCACTCACGCCCAAAGGGCTGGTGGGATTACAACATATGGTGAAAACGCCATCATGAACATGTACCGCAAATTATACTCTGCGGCACCGCTGCCAAAACTCAGGGCGAGTTGCACAGATTCTGGATGCGTGAGCAACCCGCATGTACTCGGATAGACGAGATAGCTGCCTGGCGCACACTGCAGGAACGCACGAGCACATACGAGACTTCAATAGACCAATGCGCCACGGCCAAGGTACTCGCATGGCACCCTCCTCAGGGGGCCCACGCATATCTTGCGCGACCATCCTGATCTCCGGATGCCTTTCCACGGGGCGAGATGCAGCGGCCGCCGCGAACGCGCGGGCGCGCCGCGATGGGGCCTGCTGCAGCACGACAACGCACGCGCGCATTTCAATCGCACTTCGTTGATGCTGTCCGCATCGCGAAGAAGCTATTGGAATCACCTGTCGACCCAATTGACATGCGGAAACGCGCCCCAGAATTTGCAGTCAATGTTGCAGGCGCTGATCTCGACGCCGAGGATGTACCGCGAGGCCCCTCGGAAGCCATGCCCGGGCCATCGCTGGGGGGGCCGGGGCGCCCTGCGCGCGTAGATGACAACCGAAAGGATGCGCCTGACCGCGCGAGGGGCCCGCGAATGCGTCGACGGTGCGACGCGGGCCCCATCAATTGGGAATGCGATATTTGCAAGAAGCACCGTGGCTCGAACGAGGCAGGACATAAGAGGATACCTGCCGCATGCAGATTCGCTAAACCTCGCGAACTGCCACCTAGCCCACGCCGACCTCCGCCGGCGCCCCGCAACCGATTGCAAA